GCGACCGAGTCCTTGCCAACTAAGCACATAATCTAGGGTTTGGCTGCTAGCCAACTCACTCCTAAACCTGGCTTAGCCTGTGGGAAGCCTAGTAAGGTAAGGAGGGTTGGACATTGGACTAGCCAATGAAACTTCAAAACTCAAGCTTGAAGCTTGTTCCACTCGAAAAGGGAAAAAAAGGAAAATAGAAACACCCCATGGAATGAATGCTCAATATATGCTCTGTATTAAATAATGCTTCCCTCGTACATTTTTGTTGATCCTACTTTCTCTGCATATCTGGTTTGTGTTTCCCCCTCACCTCTGTGAATTGTATGCATCTGAACTGCTGCCCTTTTTAATTACAGCAATGCTCTGTGTTGTAAAAGTTTGAGTTCATCAGTTCATTTCAGTAAGCATATTGATCGGTGTTTATTAGCATATTTGTATGTCTAGAGGTGTAATTGAACACGATCGACATTGTTTCATCTTTTAGTTTAATTAAGGCTAAAACTACCTTGTTTATGTAAGAGAATACCAATTACTGATGGTAAACTTTACCCCTAGCTTGTATAGGAGAGGAAAAGTAATGTAATATGGTATTTTGCATAATTCCACTAGATTATAATAAATGATGAATAGGTCAAGGTTAGCATGAAAAGTAAACATAAAGGTAGAGGTCACCTTATTTTCTTTTATGCAAGTGTACTTTTCTGTCTCTTATTTCAATAGAATTTACTGAAATAAGACATTATATCAATCAATACTTTAAATGCAATTTATTTTATCTGAATTGGACTGAAAACTTAGTAGAATGTGTGTCAAGTATTGGTTTGCGGGAATTAGATTGATCGATTGATTGATTGATTGATTACAGGTTTGATCATGAGTAGTTGAGATTGGTTGGGGAACCATTGGAAAACTATCACCAGGGAGTACTGGATAGCTGGCTGTTCCGTCCTCGTTTTTTTGGGGGGGGACTCTTCATCAGTACAGTACGCACTCACCACCGGGATTCGAACTCCAGTATCTTCCGGTTACAAGACAAACTCCTAGACCACTGGGACTCGACCCATTGGGTTATGAATTCCAACTTCTGGCAGTTTGCAATATATTGCGCAGCCGCTAGCTTTCTAACCAGAAGGTTCTTGGCTCGAACCCTGGTGGATGCGTATACTGATGAGGAATCCCAAACTAGGCTGAAACAGTGACATCATTTAGAGATACGCTGACACTTATAAATGGGCACTACTCACTGGGTGGATAGCTAGCTACTGTTTTGTGTTAGTTTTTATCTCTATTTATCCACAGTACATACTCATAATCCTATCAATGATTTTCTGTACACATTGAAAAGAAAATGGATTTTTCACCGTGATGAACTTGAACAAAGCAAGAAATATCTGAGCGGGATAATACGATATATATACATGTGTTTATATCGTTGATTCTTTTCAACAGCATGCGACGTAAAATTATTTCATTTTTTTTTGTATATAACTTATTCACATGCTTCATTTGTTGAGTTCAAAGGAAAACGCTATTCATATTACGTAATTAAATAGCATAATAGGAAAGGTAGAATTTGTTAGTATTTTATAGAAATAATTACATGAATATTTTAGAATTAGGAACAAAAGTGAAACATTGAACCGCTCTCTTATATTACCTCTAACTGCATCGACCAGTTCGGGACAAATACTCCCCGATGACATTAGTTGGTGCACATTCTAAAATCAAGAATAGGTAGGATTTGGAATTCATGAACTATACAATCGTGTTCCAGTGGCTGAATGGTTTAAAAGCTTGCCTTGTAACCTGAGTGTCTTGGGTTCGAACCTTGGTGGGGTGTGTGTGCGCACTATGAAGAGTCCCAAGCCATGGCGAAACAGCTATACAGTACTCCCTGGTTTCCCAGTTGTTCCCTAACTGAAACAAATCAAATTCCTACAAATTAACTGTTGAAGAATAATTAATTAGGAAAATTCAATGGCGAGCTCGAACAACTCATTGGTAAGATCTCTAAATTCACCACTGTGTGACGTGGGTTGAAAATCTCAAAAGAGACATGAGTTCCTTGGAGATTGCTTATATGCCTTGATGACGAATGTGAACAATCACGAAGCCAAGGTCCAAGGCTTCCTGTCGACTGCCTCCAATCATCTAGCAACAATTCGCAGTGATGGTGAGCCACCTAGAATGATGGTCATATTGCAAAGCTGACTGGTGAAATTCAGTCTGCACCAAACGAAGGACTAGATGGACGACATTAGTTAATAGGTCGGGTCCATTGGAAGTATCATTGTTTGCATTTGACAATTAGTCGTCATCCCCTGTTTGTGCACTATTAAAGAAACCATTTAATTACTGAGATCCCACTCGTATTGTGGTTGAGTATGAGTTGGATGTTAAAAATCAGCTACTAATTCAGTAGAATTCAACCTCCTCTTAGTCTTATGAAGACAGAGTAAAATTCATTGAAATTCCCTATGAATTAAAAGCAGTTCATAGTGTGGAACTGACAACGGAAAACATTATTATTATTATATTATTCTCTTGGGTTCCGAGTGGAACATAGGGATTCCACAACACATCTGTACTTCCACCTGTTCTCTGGAGTCCTCTTTATTTGGCCCCACGACTGTCAATAGGCTTTTATCTCCTCCATGTCACCCTCGGACTAACGCCTACCTCGTTGTTTTGCACTAACGTCCTGCTTGACTGGTGGTGGGCTGGCACGCGATATCACTCAACAGCCTCTTCAACGTGTGGCCGACCCATCTCCATTTTCGGTATATTTCTTAGGTAATCGGTTCTTGGTTGGTTCTTTACTCGCGAGAGTTTCTTATCGCTAATTTTTCTTAGCAGACAGCCTAATTTTTATTATGGGGTGAAGTGGGCGGCAGCTGTTGATGTCTGCAAGAGCTTGTTGGAAATGCTTTTTTTTTGCCTTAAAACATTCAATCGAATTAATTCAAAAACATCGCTTGTAAGAAAATCAAAAACGTTACAACATATAGGAGGTGTATAAGGCGTAAATCATGTGTTGCACAAATCTAAATAAGGAACTCTATGTTATTTTCTGGGTTAGATATTTTGTGGGTATGTTGTATATGCTGTTTTACCTGACTTCCCACCATTTATGGTGTTCAGTTAACCTTTCGCTGTTACCGTATATATAGCTTTGAGTTTATACTGTTAATACCCCAAAAATGATTTTTTTTGAAAATGTCTTTCCAACATTCTATTACCACTGATTTGTATCGGAATGGTAATATTAGTCTTAACTCGGAGACTTACAGGTGAAAAGCAACAGACTGGCTGAAGAAGCAGGCAGCGAAGACAGGACTCTGCAGGTGAACATAGAGAAGACGAAGGTGATGAAGATAACCAACCAACAGCAACAACAACCAGCACCAATTACCATCAACGGGAGAGATTTCACATAGGTTACTTCCTTCATTTATTTAGAAAGCACGGTTTCAACCACAGGGGGATAGCATGTATGAAGATGTCAAAACCATCCAGAATAGTGAAGACCTTCATCAACCTGAAACCAGTTTGAAAATCTTCTGCACTCCGTGGTATGAATAAGAAGATTCGGATTTCCAGCACCAGTGTGAAGTCATTCAGTTCGTCCATACGGGTCAGAAAAGAATTTCCAACAAGTTACTGATTTTTGTCAACAGCCACCTGGTCTGGTTGTACACTGCGTCGGTGGCACAGCGGTTAGGTCTCTTGCCGATCATTACATGGTCGGTTTCGATCCTTGCTGACGCACACTGATATCTATGGTCGGCCTGAAAAATTTGGGCTACCGATTTCACATGCTGAAAATTCCATACCTGTACCAAATACTGTGTGGAATCAAGCTGTAATAAATAAGAAAATGGCCAGTCGGAAAGAATTAACGACAAGAAACTCTGGCTGGTAACAAACCAACTGGCGAGAGTCGATCGCTTGACAAATGTTTAGGAGAAAATGGGGATGGATCGGGCACACGTTGAGAAAACCGCCTGATGACATCGCGTGCCAGACCACCGGTCGAGCGGGACGCTAATGGAAAACGACGAGTTGAATGTTAGTCCGAGGGTGACATGGAGGAGATGAGAGATTATGATAAATTGTGGACGGAGCTGAAGAAGACGGCAGAGAATAGAACAAAGTGGAGATGTGTTGCGGAATCCCTATGCTCTACTCGGAACCCAAGGGAATAATAATTTTATAATAGTATAACAAGTCTGAGCTTGACGCTTCACTTGGTTATAAGTCTGCATTACTTAAGATATCGTGACTGTCGTGAAACAGCCATCCACGCCTTCTTTAGTGTGTTGTATCCCTTTAGATTACTTTTCCGTCTCCTATTCAGCAAGTCGTAGATTCAAACACCGTATCTAAAGACCTCGTAGTGTTTTAACCTTATTCATAAAGCATATACCAATTACATGGAGGATTTCATCATGAGATGACATCAGTTAGAGAACCACTGGAAAACCTGGGAGTACTGGACAGCTGTTTCGTCCTAGTTTGGGACCCTTCATCAGTACGTACCCACCGAGGTTCGAACCCAGGACCTTCTGTTTACAAGGCGAGCTCGTAGACCAAGGAGCCACTGGGACCCAATCCAATGGACCTTGAATTCTAACTACTGATGAAGAGTCCCAAACTAGGACGAAACAGCTGTCCACTACTCCCAGGTTTTCCAGTGGTTCTCTAACTGATGTCAGCTCATGATGAAATCCTCCATGCAATCAAACAAAAATCCTTACAAAACCAATACTTGATAATATACCAATTAACTGAATTGCAATATAGTTCATATTCCAGCTAACTGGTGCGCAGTAGTCAGTCGGATTTTATGTTAACCATCATTCACATGACTTCTAAAATTTGTCTTTCTGTTGCGTTCTATTTCATATACCTCACTGATTGATTTTACTTGTTCCATAAGTGTTGCTCATTTTTCGAATTTTTTTCTCACTAATATATCATATTCTTATTTACATTTATTAATATTTCAGGTTAACTTCAATGAACCCTTATCATTCCTTCAGAGAGCTGTTGAAGACTTAACGTATTCCTATCTTCTGGATCGTGCTTCACAGACATCAGATCCTGTAGAACAAATAGCATATGTTGCAGCTTTTTCTGTTAGCTGTTATAGTTCAACCGCTTATCGAACTGGTAAACCTTTTAATTCACTACTCGGTGAAACTTATGAATGTGATCGTACTGATGATTTAGGTTGGCGTTGCATTTTAGAACAAGTAAGAGATTCAGTTTTTTTGTGTGTGTATGTATGTTTGTCTTTCTATGTGTGTAATTATTTTCTAAAGTTGTATAAGTTCAATGTATGGATGAAATTATGATGAATCGATGGCTTAGGGATAGTATGCTCACCAACCATGCCCCCCGTCCGGTCTGCCGGTAAGCTCTCATCTCCTCTATGTCACCTTCAGACCTACGTCGAACTCTTCGTTTCCCACTCGGGTTCCACTCGAGTGATGACCTTGTACATGATCTCACTCAATGGCCTCCTTAGTGTGTGTATCCAATCCATCTTCTGTGGCATATTTCTTGGCTAATAGGTTCTTGACTGGTTGTTGCTAGTTCTTTCTGGTCATCTGTAGCCTTTTTGAAGTGTTCTTTGTGACGCGCCAAGTTTTCAAACCCATGTAGAGACAGTGAGTTAACATTGATGCTGAAAATCTGAATTTTTTTTTTTCTGTTAAGTGCAGAAGATTTCCAAACTGATTTCAGGGTGATAAATATCTGCCTTGCCTTTCTGATGATCCTCGTTTTGACATGCCCATCTGTGTAGTCTGCAGTTGAAGCGATGCTTCCTAGATAAGTAAAGGAAGTGATCTCTGTCCCCAACCTCTCCCGTTGATGGTGACTAGTGCTGGTTGTTATTGTTGGTTGGTGGGTTACTTCATCACCTCCATCGTCTCTATGTCCACTACAGTTAATGTCTTCGCTGCCTGTCTCCTCTGCGAACTTATTGTTTTTCGCCTACAGAGCTTCTAGTTTTGTATGAAGTCCAGATCCGTCTAATCTTCTTATCGGTTTGACGTATTCCTCCTGTCTTCCCTCTCTCCACAGTCTTCTGCATAATCCAGTCCACCACAATTAGGAATATCAAAGGTGATAGTGGCAGGACAGCCTTGTCTTACTCCTGTATTCACTTGACATGTAGCGCATTGTCATATAAGGCTATTGAATGAGTTGTTAGTTGACTGATAGCGGGGCTAACACTGGAATACTGAGGACTCGTGTTTTATCCTCTTTGCTTTTTATTCGTCAGCTGGATGGATGCACTTGTATCCTATTGTGAATAATTCTGTTCCTATTGCGATTTTAACCCAGCTCCCAGTACTCATGGTTTCAAACGCTAAAGGATTATCCATTAAAATAAGTTGTTTTGATGATATTAGATAGTTGGAGGCAATCGGCCACAGGAAGCCTTGCTCGACCTAGGTTTCGTGCTAATTGGCACTCACCAGTCAGTCAGCAAGGCGTATCTGCAACCTTGAAGGAACTCATGTTCCTTCTGAGATTTGAACCCGCGTCACCCAGTGCTGCTCTGCAGTCAGAGACGTTACCACTGAGCTATTCAGGCTGGCAATTGACCTCCTGTAGCAATGTAGTTGATATTTTGATTGGATACTAGTTACTAACTAGTGTGACGTGTCTAGTCCTTTCTTTGGTGCAGACTGAATTCTATCCGTCAGGTTTGTTGCTGTGTTTCGTGCTGGTGGATACTTTTTGCCGCTTGAGGAGGGAAGAGCGTTTTAGATAAGAGAATCCAATCAAATTCTGTCTAAATATGTTGATAATAATAATAATGAACTGAATAAGGTCAAATTAATTGTAAGGCACTAGTTATTGTATTTGTTATTGTACTACGCACTTATTCGGTTAATCTTTTGATTAGTCTACTTTCATATCATTCTTTGTTTATGCTTTTATTTGTGTCTTGTTGTGTGTGTGTGGAGTCATATATTATATCATACGATATAATGGTGTGGTGTACTTTCTTTTTTTGTTGTTGAGTATAGTTCTCCAAATTAAGGGCTGTTATATAAGAGCTAGGCGGTAAAATCGTTTTGTCTTAGAAAGTACCTACTTCCTTTTAAGCCACCGGGTTGTGTCATTAGTCTTCACACATCAAGTGTATTGATTATCACCTGATACATTAAAAATTTGTCTTGGTTATTGAGTTGTTACAATAATAATAATAATAGTGACAACAAAACTCTCGGGAAACTATCGTTTTGTTAGATGGTTGGAAGCAGTCTTGGTAGGAGGCCTTCGACCTTGGTTTCGTGCTTGTTGGCACTCATCAGTCAGTCAGCAAGGCGTATCTACAATCTTGAATGAAGTCATTTTACTTTTGAGATTCAAACCCGGATCTCCTAGTGTTGTGTAGTCAAAGATTTTACTACTGATAGAATTCTGTCTGCAACAAACGAAGCACTAGTTGCATGGTATTAGTAGTTACCATCTAGTGTCCAGTGAGAAAGTATCCATTACATTCCTACAGTAGGTCGATCGTGAACTTGAGTTCTTTGAAGACTGCAGATATGCCTTGATGACAAGTTCCAATAAGCCTGAAACTTAAGTCTAGCCTACGCTTCTTCCTTATTTCCTCGAACCATCTAGCAACAATTCACATTCGATCGTGATGGCGAGCCACTCAGCATGTTGACCATATCTAAGATGGTTTTCACCATTGGCCGTTACTTGACTAACTGATGCTAAAGCGGATTATGTCAGACACTCTATTCCTTATGAATTTAATGACATTTATTTACTAGCGGTCATGAAAAATTCATTCTTATGGATATATAGAAGTTGGTGGTAGTTTGCAGGACATTCATATACTTTCTAGTGAGTTTGTAGCATTCACCCTGAAACTTGAATCGAATAAATCTGTCATTTTGAAACGATAAGTGACTGATGGGTTTCTGTGTGAAATAGTTGACTGGATAGGGTCATGAAGTCAACGTTGTACTACTCAATTACCCTACAGATTTTTAGCGTACTGAGCTCTTTATCACCATTTAATGGTATCATCCCATATATACCGCGAATTTGTAGAGGTGTTGGTATTCTTGGGCCATTGGGTTGAGTCCCAGTGACTGAATGGTCAGTTAGCTCGCATTGTAGATGAAAGGTCCTGGATTCGAACCTTGGCAGTGTGTGCGAAGTCTCGAACCAGGACGAAATAGCCCCCCTCCAGTATCCCCTGATTTTCCAGAAGTCAGATCGGGATCAAAATTGTAGTTAATCAAAAAATCCCTACAAACCCACACCTGTTCCCACTTAAGTCATTTGTTCATTGTCTGTAGTAATTGACTGTTAGCCTGTTAACCTCGGTTTCACATCTCACTGTGTTACTTAATTTAACCTAGATGTCGGGGATAATATTTTCAGCCTTCAAGCAGTAAGCATAACTTATAACCTGGTAAACGAAAAAAGCCAATCTGATCCGAATAACTGGATGCCAGGTATATATGACTCGGTTAGATGAACTATATCTCTATAACTAGGACTTCAAGTTAACATAGAGACGACGGAACAACAAAATCAACCAGTACCAGTCACTATCAACGGAAAAAATTTGGAAGTGGTTACTTCCTTCACTTATCTAGGAAGTACCCTTTCAGCTACATGTGGAACGTATGGAGATGTCAAAACCACAGAGCCAGAAAGGCAAGGTACACCTTCCTTCAACACTCTGAAATCAGTTTGGAAATCTTTTACACTCATCACGAAGAACAAAATTTCCATTTTCAACAGTAATGGCGTCAGTTCTTCTATATGGGGAACATTTCGAACAGACCTTAGACTTTTATGAATAACTGTCTTCGCTGGCTCGATACTGAAGATCAGATCGCCGGCCAGAAACAATTAGTAACAAGAAGCTATGGGAACAAACTAACCAGGAATCTATTGCTAAACAAAAATATATAGGAGAAAATGCAGATCCATAGGGCATATACTGAGGAGACCGTCGTCGAATGACATCTCGCGCCAGGCCACAGCGTGAGTGGCACCCGCATGGGGAAGGACGAGTTGGACGTGGGCCGAGTGTGTGACATGGAGGAGGTGTAGGAGATTATAGGCAATCGTGGACAGCCCAGGTAAAGAGGACCACGTGCTGTTGAAGCCCTACTTTCCACTCGGAACCCAAGGAAGCAATGCTATAGTAATCTAATATCTCTACTACTAACGTACATGACAATTTTTATTATTTGGTTCATTGTTTTACGCAACATCTGATTTCATCTTAACCTCATTTTAGTTATTGCTAGTATAAAGGAAAGACTGCTTTTGGTGTGTGTGTGTGTTTGTGTTAACTTAATTTTGTATCTCATATATCCAATTACTACTTACTTCTACTTTTTATATCCATATATACCCCTTTTGCTCATATTTTCATGGGAAGAGGAGGTAGGGGGGGGGGTAAGATAGGCAGAGGTGGGTATGTGTGTACGTATGCATGAGTTGAACAGAATGTTTTCGTTCACTATCATTGTTGTTGTGAAGATGCGAGACACACACAGTGGAAGAGAGAGAGAGAGAGGTTGGATGAGAGGAAAACAAAATTCCAATTGAAATGAATAAATAAATAAATAATCTGTTGACGCCCTTATTATTATATTTTTCTGTGTCACTTAAAAAGTATATACTGGGTTAATTATTTATAGAATAGATTTGACTGAATAGTATTCTATTTATCATAATGGTTGCTACTAATTCAATTGTGTTGTGGTTGGTTAAGTTGCAGAATGCTCGCCAGCAGCCACCCACGTGTTCCATGTTCGATTCCTGGCGGATACACTTCTAAGCCTCACTTAATCGGTAGTTAGTCTGGTATGGAGGGAAGGTCGGGCGTGGGTCTAGCAACTCCATCTCCATGAAAAAACAACACTGCTGCTACTAAAACTTTAATAAAGCTCAACCTTGAAGTCTTGGATTACACTGGGAGGAGCGCAAAGGAATGAAACAATTTATTTAACTAAATGATATATATTTGGAGTTCGACCGCAGATTGATGTCAGTTAGAGAATTATTAGAAAGCCAAGGAGTACTGGACAGCTGTTTTATCCTATCTTCAAACTCATCTTCAGTACGCACCCGATGGGGTTCGAACCTAGGGCGAGCTCGTAGACCATTCAGCTATCGGAAGCTATTGGGATCGGACCGCGGTGTGTGTGTGTGTTTTGTGTACTGATGATGAGTCCAAACCTGTGATAAAACAACTGTGCAGTACTCCCTGGTTTTCTAACAATTCCGTAACTGATATCAGTTCGTGGACAAATTTGGAACAAATAATACCTCCACAAACTAACTGTTGCAAATAACTAATTGATAGACCTTTTTGTGGTATGCTTGTTTTCTATGAGTAGGATAGTTGAATTGTGAAGATTTCACGAGTTGATCACGGACTGATATCAGTTAGAGAACCATTGAAAACCAGGGAGTACTGAACAGCTGCTGTTTCACCCTAGTTTGGGAATCATCGGCAGTACGCACCCACTGCCAGGGTTCGAACCCAGGACCTTCCGGTTACAAGGCAATCTCGTATACCATTCAGCCACTGGGACCCGATTCAATGGCTCATGAATTCTAACTTCGCGCTAAATCACGAATTGGTAGAAGTTAGAATTCATGAGCCATTGAATCGGGTCCCAGTGGCTGAATGGTATACGAGCTTGCCTTGTAACTGGAAGGTCCTGTGTTCGAACCTCGGTAGTTGGTGCGTACTGGCGATGATTCCCAAACTAGGATGAAATAGCTGTCCAGTACTCCCTGTGGTTTTCAATGGTTCACTAACTGATATCAGTCCGTGATCAACTCGTAAAACATAACTATCCTTACAAAACATAGAAAATTGTGAAGATTTCATTATTCTTCTGGACAGCATCAATGTGAAGTGTGCTGTTTTGCTGTTCTCCGCGAATGGTGTAACTGGCTACCCTAATGGTCTTGATTATCGTCGTTCATGTTGAGAAGCTTTTATCCCAATACACATATATACAGACTAAGTAATTCAAATGAACAGTTATGAAACTGTGTACAGACATTATTCAAAAGAGTCAACATACACTTCATTACCGCAGTCCTGAGGATATAATAATAATAATTATTATTATAATTATTACGTCATGGACACCAAGAGGTTTGCTACACAAACCTCATAGTTTGTGTGAGGGCTGTCCTTAGGAGCCACCCTATGAGCCTTTGATTTGAAGTCTGACTTACAAGGCACTGGAACATTGTCAGGAGCTGTCTCGTCATGGTTGCCGGTGTCCAAAACAGGTTCATACACCATTCTATGTGCTTGGGATTCTCGGGGCTATGTACACCATGGGTTTAGAATCAAAGTCCGGTTGTAATTCTCAGGCTATGAACGTATGAGGAAGACCGATTTCTACTCACTACCGGCTTTTCCAGGTCGTTTATAAGGGCCAGCAATTAAACCACACTCAACCCAAAGAAAACAACCACTTGATTGAAAGATCTCTATTATTATTATTATTATTATTTCAAACACTGATTGACTGTTCAATGTTTAAGCATTGTGTACAATAAATTACGAAAGAAAGAAAGAAAGAAAAAAAGGGGATGATCAACCTTGTTATCGTAATTCAACTTGTTTACTTACATCTAATCTTTTGTTTATTATTCACACCTTAATTGAAGGTTAGTCATCATCCACCTGGATGTAGTCAACACTGTGAATCTCTTCGATATAAATGGAAAATTTGGCAAGATTATTTTTTATCTACAAAATTCCGTGGGAAATATTTATCTATCACACCTAAAGGTAATTGCTTTTTTTTTCTCTCTCTCCTTTCATTGCTGCATTCGAGTGATATTCAACAATGATTTTTTAACGGGGAAATAATTATTATCAGTATTTGTTTTGTTATAATTCAACTCGAAACCTCTTTTTATTATTATTATTATTATTGGTTGTGTTTCGAAAGTCTTATTGTAATGGTGGTAAAAGACAAGAGACTTGGTAAAGGAATATTTGTGTGGAATTCGGTATCTTTATATAGCGAAATTATGTACGTCTTATCTGTAAATCATTATTTGCACAGATCCTGTTCTGTGTTGTGCTACTTCTGTCCTTCCTTCGTATTATATTTTGCCACAATGCTGAATGATTTGCTGTCTTTTTGATGTCAAATCTATCTCCCTGCTCTCTGGTATTTTCATGCTGATCAACATCTCTATATATACTACTGATAAATCGTATTAGTAACACATGCCACAGTTTAACTTTGTAGTTGGTAGCGTCATTAGACCTACCGCTTTTTATTCTTTTGTATTCCCAGTGAAACATAGAACTTCAAGTTTCAGTTTGGTAGTGGTGTTTATTTCTCACGGTGTGGTGGGGTTTTCAGTCAGTCTCACGTCCAGCTTTCACCGGGCTTGATTCCGGTTAGGCGAAAGTAAATAGTCCGTTGGCTGGAGATCGAACCCCGGACCACATTTGTGGTTGGTGGCTATCCTACCATTGGACCACCGATACACTTATCTGCCTTAAAATTGAAATTTATTTGTAATCGTACCGTGGTGAGAACTCTCTGCTAGCCAAAATTGGCAGACAGCAATTTACGTCAATGTTTGCGTCCCAAATCTTGGTCATGAGAAAAAAAAAGAACAAAGACTTTTCGTGGGCGGATACGATGCGCAGATATATGGTATGACCATCAAAGAAACGGCCACAAAGAGATGACAGATTAACTTTCAGCAGGAAAACAACCAATCTTTGCTAATAATAACGAATAATAATGTACATAAAAATCTATAAATATCTGTTGATTTCTTCAATAAGCGATCTGTTGCCTGGCCCTTGTCTTCTGTCGTTACAGTACTACTGTTTTAATGTTTCTTCTACCTTTCGTCAGAGTAGTACGCAAATAGTCGACACTCTTTCATGACTACTTCGAATTTGTATTGCCATCTGCTTTTTTGCACCGAAGGATATATATTCAACTGGACTCAGTTAGTATAAAACTTGGGCACTGTGGTAGAGTATAACTCCATTATAGATAAGATTTTATTTTGATAAATCACACAATGGTGTTATACAGTAATATTAACTGATGACCACATTTCGAGCACAAACTATTGCTCATAAACACACAACGTTTTACTTCATTTATATACATGAGTGCTACGTATTGTCTAACAAACCGAGCAATAGCAGTAAGTAGCATAAAAAATGACCTAAACGATGAAATGAAACAGATAGAAGACGCGCCGGTGTTGAATAACTATCCTATAAAACTCATTAGGAATATCAAAAAAGGTCAGAAGCAAAATTAGTGATTTAATCAGGACACTAGGCGAGTCTGTCGACGGAATAGACTTCCCAGAGTTCACTTCAATATTATCCTTAACATCTAGTACACACTGTTTTTATCTAATACGTTGATTTTGGCTAGAAAAACAGAAGGTATCTCACCATAATTGGTTATATGATCTCTTAAATTCCCAATAGATATTTAAAACAAGAAGAATATTTGGTATAGTTGCAAATCTATAAACATTATCAATAGAATAAGGATTGCCAGTAAAGACAAAATTATAGATGTACAGAAGAAACATCAGGTACGTCGATGGCACAGCGCTAGAATGCTCGCCAACCATGCCTTATGTGGTCCGGGTTTCTAGCCCCTGTCGACGCGCTCCTTTACCTCGCTAAGCCAGTAATAAAAAGCTGGTAAAGAGGAAAGGTTAAGCATTAGGCTAGCAACCCCATCCTGTAAAAATAATCACCACTGCTACAGAAACTTGACGCCTCCAGCTTGAAGTTGGCCTATGTTCCACTGGGAACGTGAAGGAATGAAAAAAAGGAGAAACATTAATATAGCGAGTGGAATAAAATGCGATTGACTTTAAACTTCAAATCTTGTTAATTTAGAAATATTTCCCTACTTAGTTTCAATATTATGTCTCATCGGAAATCGTTCCTGACTCCCAACTAGGCAATTTATATGAATGAAAAAGAAGTTAAATGACACCGGAATAGAAGCTGTGATAGTAGGAAAATAGTTAGTTGATCTAGTCTGCATTTATACTCTGATATACCAGTTAATATATGACTCTAGAAATTACTCACAGAACAGGACTATCCATCGAAAGAAAGTCATATAAAATTATGTCTTGTGTGTACTTTCTTCAAATATTAGGACGAAATACAAAGACAAACTTAAAGGGGGGGGTGCTGGCAATGAGATCACCAATATACATGATGATAATTGAGAGAATATGTCTCTTAAAGCACTTAATCCTACCTTGAAAACACTGTGTGCAGATATATGGATGACACTTTCATTGTGTTATGAACAGAACATATCTGTAATTTCCTTCCCCCTCCGCACACACACACAGCTAAGCGGATAATAAAGGGAATAAATTTTGCACTTGGGTTGAAGAGTGAACAGGATAGAAAGATAGCTATGTTAAGTTGTAAAATAAAACCAGCGGAATAAGGCCAATAACATATATATATATATATATATATATATATATATAATTCATTGCTTGCATTCTGCATGGAGTACATTGGGAGTGTTTCAGCAATCAGTTCGTTGGGCTTGATTCTACTTCTCAGATAAGTGGAGTGGTCAACACGTTCAATCATTCCTCTCTCTCTCTTCTGTCTGCAACTTTATACTAGGCGTCGGTGCAGACCACTTTTACAGTATCATCTTACACTTGGCATAGTTTAGTTGTATGCCTTGCATTCTTAAGTGAAACATAAGATTTCAGCAACACATCTCCACTGTAACCTGTTCTCCGGTATTACTTTCACAGCTGACTTCACGACTGCCTACAAACTTCCATTTCCTCTTCACATGAATGCTACTGTCGAACACCTACACTGTCGCTTCCCATTCATATCACACTCTATGGCTGGGCGTGTGAGATGTCATTTGGCCTCTTCAGAGTAATGTTTATTTCATCTCCACTTCCCTCAGCATAGTGATTGGAAAATAGGTGTTTTTGTGTGGTTCGCTACTACAGTTCCTTGTTGCATATTACTTCCAGCCATCTATCTCATCTTCAATGTCATGTCAAGACATGATAGGTGATAATGAATATATATGTTCAGCTTTTCGTGACGCCCTTGCCAAGTCTCTGAACTGTCTGGAAGCATTCAGTTTACATTGTGAGAAATGTAGATCTTGTTGCATCTATGACAACAGTAATCTCCACATTCTGCTCTACCACCTACTAGACATTGTATCAAAATTGTATATAAATTTTTTTTATTCCTTTACTTTCCCAGAGCTTCAAGTTAGAGGCTTGAAGTTTCTGTAGCAGTGGTGGGATGGGGTTGCTAGCCTCATGCCCAACATTCCCTCATTACCAGTTGTTTATTACTGGCTTAGCGACGTAAAGGAGTGCGTCGGTGGCCGGGGCTCGAACCCTGGACCACCTGCGTGGTCAGTGAGCACTCTACCGCTGTACCACCGACGCGCACATGTAAACTCAGTTAGTCTAAGTTCATTGTGCACACACCACCGTGTGGGCAGCTACCTGTCATCAAACACGAACAAGCATACACTCGTATTGGTTAATTACGAGAAATTGACTAACAATCAATTCTGGTGAAATATTACAGAAGGAATTAAATGAGAACGAGTTGAACCACCACAAAATTTCACTTCATCACTGATAATTGGTTTGTTTTTTTCTATTGACCAAAAAAAGCTTTATTCACAAAAGTTAAATGAGCCAGGATTCGATCCCCGGTCGACGCCGATTTCCTAAACCTCGCTCAGTCAGCTTATAAGTAAGTCACCGGGTAAAAAGAGGGAAGGTTATGCGAGAGAGGCTAATAACCTCACTCCATAAACTAAAAAATAACCACTGCTACTGAAAATTCATAGCTCAAGCGAACTGTATTGAAACTCAATAGTTGACCCATTTTACACATAGTCAATAAAAGTATATGCATATATATTTATCTGATCACCACTGTAGGTAGGTATATCACATGATTAATAATTTTATAATAATCCTACTGTCCTAAAGCTCTTCCACCTCTCCCATTTTCAAATACTTCGAAAACAAAGTGTGCTCGTGCACAAGTTGTTGTTGTTGTGTGTTTTTTTTTAATTTTTACCTTGACGATATATTTCATGAAGTACTTTTATGAATTGAATTAACCAACCAACCTACTACCTATCTGGACACACATATATTGTTTTACGAGTTGATCACGGACTGATATCAGTTAGAGAACCATTGAAAACCAGGGAGTACTGGACAGCTGCTGTTTCATCCTGGTTTTCAATGGTTCTCTAACTGATATCAGTCCGTGATCAACTCGTAAAACATAACTAATCCTTACAAACCAAACTATAGAAAAACACATATATTGTTTTAAAGGTTATAGGAAATTCACTGCGAACTTTATAGCCTGTTTAAATGTATTACTGCGGCACTTATATTCTCTTTTTCTTAACATGATATGCATGACTTGTGGTATTTTGCGTCGAAATAGGTGCTTAACTAAACTCTTGTCAATCATGCGGACGTCTGAACATCCTGACAGGCAACAATCTGCGAATGTTTGGCATGCGACTCGCTCCTGCCAAATGTAAGATGATGCTCTACAAGACTGGACTACATTGACTCCTAGCTTAGAGATAGGGAGTGAAGTGGTCAATGGAGCATGTTGACCACCTCACTTATTTGGGGAGTTGCATCAGCCAACGTAAGTGGGTTGATAGCTGACGATAGAAGACTGACGATATAGAAGGCTCGTTTGCCATATGACAACTTACAAAATCTCTGGCTTAATAAACGTGATATCTGGCTGCCGTGGCCGAACAGCGTGTGTACTGCTCATCAGTTCGCTGTGTCCTTCTTTATGGCTGAATGCCATTGATAGTGGAAGACATGAAAAAGCCGGCTAGCTGTCTTTGATCATAGGTGCCTGCGTTCTTTCTCCCGTGTTAAGTGGTATAATACGATGAACAATATCGAGGTTAGGCGTTGAGTGCTAGGTAAGGAGGGGAAATCAATCAACGAAGCTGTGAAGTTATATCGATTGAGATGGTTAGAACATGTGTTACTCATTCTTAGCCTGACCATTGCCTTCCTCGACGGGTAATGTTAGCTGACAGGATGGATCAGGTTGGAAAAGAGCCTGTGGTGGTCAAACGAAAACATGGCTTCACTAGTCAATGAAATCCACAACAGTTAGTTTAAGCCAGCCAGTCACGTAGGGAGGTGTAGACTTCCTGGTTGGGGTCCTGCGGATAGTAAAGACCAATGGAGACTGGAGACAATTGGTGATATGGCTCAAAATCCTTCTCAATGGCTGGCGCAAATTATCTTGAAACTTACATGGAAATTGTAAAATCTACAAAGCATCCACTGGTCCTCACGTAATTTACGTATAGTTGTATGGTCAATCCACTTCCATATTTTCCATAGAGTTAGTTCCAGTGAAGCGCCTTTACGCATATACCTTTTCAGCTGCCTGTGAGCATTCTCCACTATGTTGTTAGTATTGTTCCCCATGGTGATAGTGAACCGGTTGCACGATGCAACCCAATATTTTCTAGTTCGTAGCCAGTACGTTCTAATGTTAGACACCAGCTTCAGCATCTATCATACCTCCTTTAACTTTTGTGAGGAGGAACACTCCATGCCAAATGAAGGCACTAAATAAGATTAACCTGACAGAGAGACAATGAACAACGCATGGCCATATGAGAGTATTTCATGAAGAAGACTGAAGCCTATTCACCGTCGTCCGTTTCAGGTCGTTTCGGTAAGAAATACGATACTATAAACAGTTGTATTAGATGCTATCTTATCACCTGTTTGAAATAAATCAATATCTTCCAGATGACAGCACTAAATAGTGATCCAGGTTTCAACATTCAAGGGGGAAAGCCAGTTGCCTAACATTTACAGAGATCGCTTGTTAATGTTTACTGATATGCACAATAACCGGAATAAGACATAGCGCCCTTTGCCAACTGTCTCGTGTAGTAAATACAATGTGTTTCTACATTACTCATTTTTTTAAAATACTTAATATGTATATTGTCTTTAATGTGATGTTTCATTGTATATCTCTTTGTGTATTCTTTGTTTTGTTTTGGGTCCTCTATGTTCATCAAAAATGTTGATGATATGCATGACCGTACGCTCTCACACACACACACACACATTCATCACATGCACACGCACACACACGCAATCATCACATTTTACAGAAGGAACAGGTAAATATGGAAATAAATAACTGTTTACATGCAGAGCTTGTTTACATCACATTTTCATTAGATTTGTGTATATGCATATGTGTCTTTCTATCACAGCCTTTAATGGTGTGTTGTACGCACTCTTAAGCTCACTGATGATGTGTTGAGATAAACTGCATGCACTTTACTTGTGTGTGTGTGTGTATGTGTATCTGTTCCGTGTGCAAAGCTATTTTTTGTGGAGCATTGTTTTTGAGTAGCAGTACTAATTCTTGCTGTTGTTGTTGTTGTTGTTTGATGGTGTGAACGTTGTCTTCTTTATGCATTAAGTGTTTTGTTACACTTTCTATTTATTGACTGGGTTTTTTTAATTTCACTTGCTGTGTATGCTATGAAGGCTCGTTGAATCAACAGTTCTTTTGTGATGTGTAGTGCTTCGGCTTAAACGCATTATTATTACTCCCTTTAGTCCCCAGTGGGCTTCAACAGCATATCTCCATTTTGTCTCCTGTTCTCTTCACTCCATAAGCCTTCATCTTCTCCTCACACGATCCCTTCCATGCCAACCCCGGAGACACGCTCAACTCGTCATTTTCCCATTTGAATTACACTCGAGCGATGACCTTGCACGTGATGTTATCAAACAGTCTTCTCAGTGTGTTTCGGATCCATCTCCGTTTTCTTAGATGTATAAGAGCTTTGGCTGTTGTTGGGTGGTGACATTGTGATAACCATTCACTGCTTCAGTGTGTACTCGTGGTTGTCGTCGTCTGGTTGATCGGAGTAGATTCTTGAAACTCCACCTAACTGTTTGGATAATCTCATTGATTCCTAGTACTTCTAAGCCATATCTTCGCATTTCTTCGGCTACCTGGGCAACTTTCCCAGCTTTGTAAATTGTGCGAATATTCCACGTCTCCATGCTTATTTTTGCTTCCATAAAAAGAAGATACATTTGCTGGAAGACTGACTTCCTGAAGGATTTCACCATCTCCCGTCATTTCGTTCCTCAGATTCCACTAAAGAATAAGTTTGTTTTTTATATTTTTCATATTTTTCTTGAGCTATGAAGTTTCTGTGTAGATTGGATTGATTTTCTGGGGGTAGGGTTAAAACTCCTATCCCCAACCTTCCCTTTTTTTCCAGGCCCCTAGAACTGGCTAGAAAGCTAGCGAACTATTAAACTAGGCGAGGTTATTAAGCAGCCTCTCTTCCAGCCAACCAGCGAGTCCCGGGTTCGAATCCCACTCCACCTATTTCAGCCTGGGAACTGAATAGTTTCATCAACCCCCTTACAAGGGGTAAATGTGGCTCATAGCCTGGCACCGGATAACTGAGTTCTAAGTAAACAAGTAAGTAATATACAGTTTCCTGACTGATGTCACCATTCAGCTACCACACACAAATGTTGGTTTCTAGACATAGATGTGGGGGAAAGGTATATATTCCTACTGGGAGGGGGGGATGTCACTAAATTTAATCAGTGCACTAGGATTTTGTTTAAACACTTGTGAATCTATGTAAAACAAGAGGAATGCGATTGTTTAACAGCAATTTCTGTATAGGTTGTTATGCAGTGTTGTTTTGCTTGGATTCATCTAATGTTTATGTGTGGTTTTGTGAAGGGTGGCCTTGAGGTTCTGGGTATTGTTTGAAGGTTGTATCGACTACTTTTCACTGTTATGTTATTCAAGTATTGGTTTGTAGGGATTTGATTGATTAGTTACAGGATTTCATCATGGTTCGCTAATCAATGTCAGCTCATGAGCGCTATGTCGTGAATTGGCAGAAGTTAGAATTCATGGGCTGGCCATTGGATCGGGTCCCAGTGGCTGAATGGTATACACAAGCTGGCTCGCCTTGTAACCATGAGGTCCTGGGTTTGAACCCTGTCGGTGGGCGCGTACTGATGAAGAGTCTAGTACTCCCAGTTGTTTTTCCAATGGTTCTTTAACCAATGTCAGCTCATGAGGAAATCCTGTAACCAACTGTTATGTTAATTGATCAATTTTCGAAATGATGTGTAACTATCAATCTCTGGGTATTCACTAACACAATGATGAGATTTTCTTCGTTTTAACTATGGTATAGCTTAGCAGAATGCGTGTGTGTTTTTGGAACTGTTTTGTCCATTTGAATTGAGTGAAACAGCCTGCTCTGTTGTGATGATCTTGGCTTCAAATAAGCGAACTGAGTAAGTAAGACTGATTTTCCAACGTACACAAAACGTTTGCACAAAAAGTGCAACAGTTCACACTCCAATGAATGACTTCGATTTGGCTAGCAGGTACTGCTACCTCATTCACTGAAGATAATAAAAACCATCATGCTATTGATGCAATCTTTTCTTTTATAAAAAAATATGTACAGTCCTGATTTTAGCAGTCTAGCTTGATAATGAAACGTACACGATTATTACTGTTTGTCGTGTTATTTCTGCACTAGTAATTACTTTTCTTTTTTTTTATCAAGAAAGGAGTTCTTGTGTGCTTATTTCTTAGCTATGCGAGAGTGGCTTATTTTGCACACACACAGATTATCTGTCATTTTGCCTATTACAGTCTTGTTAATGCTTTATAGCAGGTGGCTTTTGTACTTTTAATATATATAATATTACATATGAGAAGTGTATTAAAATTGTGCATAACATTTTATGCTTTTGATATATATTTAAGTGAAAATATGTAGAGAGTATTGATCTTTGAAGTTATAATATTAGTACTTTATCGACCGAACCCAACGTATTGGAGTCTGAATGCTAGAAAAGCCAATCTTCACGTCCTACTAAGCCTCTTTATCACCATGCTTCAATCGTACAGATTCCAAGTCCAAACACACTTTCTCCCAACGATTGCATATACCCTCTATTAATTTACATCAATCATTCATTTGATGCCATAAATGAATTCTTCAACTTATGCGGGAATCGGTAATAGGGCTATTTACAGGCTTCAGAACCATACGGACGACGAGCCTTAGATTCTGAGGACCTGTGGCCTTTCCTGAGATAAGAGAAATAAAATCTTGCCTGGTTAGCGTTTTGACTATCTTTCATTCATAGAGAGTGCCAAGAATTCTGGACATCCAGTGGCCATGTGGCCTCCTCCACATATTGCACAATGCTGTGTGTCAATCCTAGTCGACACATCAACCACAACAGGCGTCAACTACTGCGTGAAACATGTTATCTTACTATTGTTTCTGTCGACTGCTTGTCTCCCGTTTTTCGAATCTGCACGAACAGATACAATCCACGTCAACTCAGAAGACGTTGGCTCACAACCGTTCTCTGTGACGTCGTCTACTTTTCCTGCCCACTTCATTTGTGGCGCACGGGGCGGTTTTGTCATTATTGATTCCAGAGTACTTGGGAAGTTAAGATATGCAGAGTAATTTAGCTGCTTGAGAGCAATAGAGCAATTTTCCATTTATCTGGCAAGTCTTGATATGGCTACACGTAGCCTCGGTGATTGTCCAATAATATACCGTCTGCGGATAATATTGTCCTCCTAGATGAAGACAGTGATAAAGTGCAGAGTCTTCTGAACATCTTGAGTAGAAATCTTTGAAAGTTTGATATGTGCGATTCGTTCCTGTCAAATGTCAGATCATGCTGCTAGACTGAACTGCACTAACTCCTAGCTTGAAGATAAGAAGTGATATGGTGATATGGCATGCTGACCACTTAACTTATTTTGGAAGTTGTATCAGCCCTAGTGGACTGATTGTTGACGCAACCTCAGCACACGTGCAAAGGGATTGTGAGGCATTTTGCTAGCCCAATTCATCTCCGGCTATAGATGAAAGGACGTGTGTACTACACAACAGTTCTCTCTGTCTTCCTTTATCTCTGTGAGACATTGCCGATTATTTGTGGGATTCAGTCGGTGAAGTCGTTGACAGTTGGTGTGAGCCATGTAGAGAGACGTATAAACTAACTGGTCGTGACTGTCGGTATTTTTAAGAACCAATATAGCTGGTGACAATTGGTGATATGGCTGAAAATCGTTCTCAATAACGCAGATGCGTTCACTCTTTATGATACCCTATATCAACTAAGTGGTTATATTTTCCATATTCCTATTCATCTCCCTCACATTTCTGTTTTTTTATGATAATTTTTAATCTAATTCTTTCCCTCTTTTCTCGACCTTTGTCTTCTATATGAAATTTGGCAACTTGAACTGCTGCTGTCCTTCTGTGCAAAGTTCTACGTTGAAATCTAGTGATTCATTCTGTACCACTATAACATTATTTAATAGCCTCCAATAAGACTCACAGTACTGCCTTCACACCTAAAGTGCAATTGGTTTTTATTTGTTAACCAAGTAGGGAGGTGTGTAAACTGCCTACCTGGTTAGTGTCATTGAGCTGCGAAGGATCATAGTCTGGATATTGTTGGTGTGATAAGGTTCAAAATGGTTTTCTCTGTGGTGCAGATACCTACACTTCTTTGTAGGTAATCTCTCAGATCTGAACTAGAACTGCTGTACTTTATTGGGAATATTCGTACCTTGGCAATTCATTTCAGTTCATTTGTAAACTGTTAAGTTTAACGAGTTACATACACAGGATACTTGCTCCTCAGGTAGAGCATTTCATAGTTGAGCGGTTATCCTACTACTGTCTTAGGATCTGATTATAATCATTTTTGGTTTAAGAGGAGAGCAAAGATTATAAATAATGATATAATTTTAATCTCTCTCCTGACAACTTTTGTCCTGATTGGTTGTTCATTTACATCTTTATTGATTATATCTGTTGACTTGGAATTTGAACTTTCTTGTCATGTGGCTCCATTCTTTATTAGTTGGTAAATTTGATCTATGCTAAGTAATGTATTTGTTTGTTAATAGCTGACTCATCTGAGTACCAGACTACTAGAAATTCCCTGGCATTTTTAGTGTTTCCACTGTTAAAAATCTTATATTTTTTCCTAATGAAATTGGTCTTCACAATTGTCTATACGCATTGATATGAAAGGAAAGACATTTTGTCTTTTCAACAAGTAATTTATGTTC